TTCTGATATACATTTTAATATTTTATTTAAAATAATAAAATAATATATGAACATTTTTTTTAATTTTCTTAATCTACCTTATCTATTTATTTAATCCTAAAACATCCAAGTTAATATTTTCTTTGAATATTTATATCTAGGAATAAATTTTAGTTTTTTGTATACATGGTAATACATTGCTAATAATGTATTGAATAATATTGATATAAATAATATGAATAATATTAAATTCTATTATGTAAGTATGTAATGCTATAGGTACACGAATTTAAATGAGCTTGATTGGTTAAGGTTTGGAAAAATAACGTTTATAAACATTTTGTTATTCTCAGTGAGTATTTTGTTTATCATATTTTATTATTATGGTCAAAGGGCCCCCAAATTAATTTGCCCCTGGCCCCGAAAAACCTTGGGACGGCCCTGGGCAAGTGAGATCAAATATGAAAGTTATATTAATCACATTTTTTTAATTTTCGTGGGATGACTCACCGTGAATGGGGATGCATCAAGGACAAAAATATATCAGCATTTTTATTTAGAAGTCATGAAAAGATTGCGTGAAAATATTAGGGAAAAAGCCAGAAAATTGGAAGAGTGGTTCTTGGCTGTTGCATTATGATAACGCCCTGGCTCACAGCTCATTCGTCATTTCTTACTGAAAAAACAAATTTCAGTAATTCCACAAAGCACCATACTCACCCGACCTGGCCCCGTGCGACTTATTTTTGATTTTCTAAGTTAAAATCAACGCTAAAAGGACGTAGTTTTCAAACAATTGATGACATTAAACAAAATTCGGGAATCGGTCTTAATAACATTTCCATTAATTCCTGCTAGGAATATTTTTAAAAATGGAAAAGAAGATGGCAGCAAGTATTGCTTTCATTATTAATCTTTAGTAATTTCGATCTATCAGATGTTAGCGATTTTGTTTTCTAAAAGGCAAGACAACCACTAACCACATATTTGTGTTAAGATAAGCTATGGAGAAGTACTACACATTTTGTGTTGATCTACATTTAGTATTTAAAGACTACAAACAAACATATAACAGCATAAAAAGAAATAATAGGACATCAAAGAAACACTAATACGATAACTACTTGCAAATAACAGTGACGTATGCAAGTGAAACATTAAGTTTTATTTAAATTAAATGAGAAACAAAAATTTAAATGACTGGAGAATTGAAAAAATAGTATAACAAAACAAACATTCTAGCTTATATCTAGAATAAACAGCTCGAGTAGTTTGGATACACTTTTAATGCAAATTATCAACTAATAAAAGTATTAACGGAAAAAATAAATGAAAATAAACTCAAAGAAGAACCAAAACCAGGTGAATAGATGTTTTATCAACTAATAATAAGAACCTGAAAATAAAACCTGTAAACCAGAATATGACAATGTGACCTATGTGTTGTCTTATAATATAGAGGATTGTAGAGGCTGTTAAGTGCAACAATGGACCGGTAAACTAAAAAAGTTAGCCTAATTACAGTAAGTTCCGCTTAATGTGATCGCTGGTTTATAGAATCAACCATTTATTGTGATCAAAAAAAAAAATCGCAAACCAAATCTTATGATTCTTATGTTAAATTGATCTTTTATTAGAATCACTATGTACCGGATAATGAATATTTTTATTATTTTTATGATGTTTCAAACTGATTAATTTATAACAATAATTTAATTTTTGAAATTATCAGTGTGACAGTGTATCGGTATACCTCGCGTTGTTTAGTTTTTGTTGTACGTCGTGTACTCGTTTTACATTTTATTGTAGTTCATGATCAAAAATTTTTCGTAAATGTCGTGCAATCGAAAAGAATTATCAATAAAAGAAAAAAATATTTACATATTCGGTTTGATAAATTATAAAAATGTTCACAAAGAAAAACCACATTAGCTTTGAAAATTCCTCAACCTACATTTAACAAAATTTTAAAAAATCATAAGGAAATTATTTTAGCAAAATTTGTTTCTTTCTTGAAAACGAAAACAAAATGTTGATGTAGAAGAATGTTTGTAAAGATGGTTTCAACTAGCTAGAAATTTAAATGTACCGGTTAGTAATTCTGTTTTAAAAAAGAAAGCTATACATTTAGCTTTGCAATCCAATGATTGAGTGGTTGACTCGTTTGAAAACAGAAACAATATTGTTTTAAAAAAAACATGCGGAGAAAAAAAAGACGCAGATTGTCAAACTGCAGAAAAATACTTAAGGGATTTTATTGTATAGTCTAATTATGTTTAATCAAATGACATGTACAATGTAGACGAAACTGGTTTGTATTATAAAGTTCTTCCAGATACTACTTTTAATTTTAAAAGGGAATACGGTCAATGGATGTAAAAAACAAATGCAAAGACTCACAATTCTATTGGCTTGCAACATGACAGGTACCGATAAAAAACACCCTTTAATTACAGGTAAAAGTAAAAATTCATGCTGTTTTTGGGGCATTAAATTTTGCTCGTTGATTATTACGCTAATTCAAATGCTTGGATGACTAGTCTAATTTTTACCGAATTTTTACAAAAATGGAATAGAGAAATAATTAAACCAAGACGTATTTCTTAATTCCTAATAACTACACGGTACATCCAAAATTGAATTTACAAAACATAGATTTGAAATTTTTACCGCCAAATACTACGTCAATCATACAGTCTCTTGACCAGGGAATCATAATCACAATGAAAACTTATTATCGAAAAGCAATTAGAAATTGTATTATTGAAACTATAGATGTATGTGAAATTCAAGCATCACATATAACTCATAAAATTACCGTGTTAGAAGCTAAAGATATGGTAGTTAATTCTTGGGATAGAGTTACTTAAAAATGTATAATTAATTGTTTTCAAAAAGCTGGGTTTTCACAAATTGAGTCTGACGATGAAGAATTACAGGACTCATAACTCATAGACACAAACTTTGAAAATAAGATTTTAATTGATTAAGATGTACCTACTTTTGGTGTATTGTCTGATAAAAAAATAACTGATTTTCAAATACAAATTAATCAAGAAGAAAATATTGAAGAAGAAGACAATGATGAGGGAACAATTGTAGAAATCACCAAAAAAGAAATAAGAATTATTTTGGAAAAGATTGGGAAAAAGAGAGATTCAAAAATACGCTGATAATGATACTTTTCTGTTTTTTCAAAAATTACAGGTACAATGCATATACTTTATTTACTTTATTATTAAATATTGAGTGTTTAATTTTACCTTAAAATATATTAATTTCAGGCTAATATGAAAATAAAATTAGAAGAGTATTAAATATAATTAATAATATAGATCATTTTTTTACATTGTTTTAAATGTACATGTTTTTTTTTCTTAAATTAATTTTTATTTAAGTTTTATTTTATTTTAAGTATACGTATAAATATGAAAAAAAAATGTTTATGGAATCAACCGGTTAGTAGAATCAAAATGACCGGAACCAATGTGATCACATTAAGCGGAACTCCCTACATTAAATAGTTGTGCCAGTAAAATAATTTTGTTATATTATCTCATTAAAATAATACATACTTACAAGTTATCTTAAATATGCATGAAGCATATAATATTTAAACAGCATGTAAATATTTAATTAGTTAAAAGTAATGAAAATCATATCAAAAAGCATTTTAAACAATTTTTTTTTTAATTGTTAATAGATTTTTCAAAACTCTTACGATTTTTTTCAAGCATAGCATTTTTGAGAAAATAGTCAAGTCTTTTGATAAAACATGGATATGCTAAATGAATGATACTAGACATTAAGATCCGTTCTTCTGGCAAATAATGTTTTTTTGTGTTGGCTGAAACGAAAATACCAAGTGTTTTATTAAGTATATTATGTAGATAGTGGTTTTCAACTTTTTAACAATAGACCACACATAATCTCCTACACAATGTTTGCAATATTCTAATTCATATAAATATAAAATCTACATATACTCGTATTATAATATATAAAATATTAGAAATGTTGCACACTTTATGAACGAATGTAGTATATCAGTTGAAAACTACTGATATAGATTATAATATTACTAAAGTATAAGACAAATCAATTCATACTTAAAAAAAGATTCCCGTATTAACAAATTAATAAAAAATATTACTTCAAAAATTTAATACATTTTTCTCTGCCTCGACGTCTCTTTGGAAATTACTTCAGAATGTATTTCCTCATTCAGATAAAGGGTATTGTTTAAGTTGAATGTTACTGTATTTTTTTTATAAATTGTTTACCTATATTTTAATAATTAATACTGCAATATACTGATAATATAGATGGAGGTGCCAAAAATAATTAGCCCTGGACCAAAAACACTTGAATTCATCTCTGCCAAGTAAAGAATTTAGACCTTTAGAAATCATACTATCTAAAATATGATGGAAAAAAGCTATCCGTAGCAAAAACGAAAAATGCTCAGGTTTAATAGACATTATGTGTTGGGAGTGTTATATTATTTATGTTTTACTCCAAAAAAAGATTGTTTTTATAATTATCACAGTTAATTTCGAAAATCACAATTGTCTAAAAGTTTATGTTTTTAGTTTAATTTTTATTTTCATATATTTTGATCTGTGATACATATCAAATAGTCTCTACTGATATATATTTTAAGATCAGAGACTGATAAATAATTCTAAAATGCTTAATTTTTTTTATATACCATTTTATAATATTAAATTCAAATTTAATGCGGTTTTAATAATTTTAAAATATAGATATTAATTTTGTTTCGTAATTTTTATTTTCATGCATTGTGATACTTATACGTTAGTAACTATAACATTAAATTTAATTTTTAACTTAAATTCTTAATGACCATAAAACAATAATAATAATGAAAAAAAAATGTTGATGCAGCATAATTAAATAAATAATTAAAGGGTTATATTCAATCTTATATTAAACTATATTGTCAATGAAAATAAAGCTTATAACTTGTAAGAAACCGTCTTTTACATGTTTCATGCATTCAAAGCTAATAAATAGGACACTAAGGATTTATTTTTGTTGGAAGAATTGTTTAGTATTAAAATGCTAAAAGTTATACTTGTATCAATCATTAAAACTATGTAAGTGAGAATGGATTTAGAATATTTTGTAAAGAAAAATGTAGATTATAGATGGTAGTTATTCATTTTATGCATAAAAACCTGTATATCTAATCTAAACATTTTTTAAATTTGAAGTTATATTAAATTCCGATAATAAATTGTAAAATTTACATTGTAAATTTTACCGTTGGTAAACAATTTTGTAAATATATAAATTCTCATATTTTATCTATATCTAGATAAATTTTTACTCATCTAATCTCAACATTAATAGTATAACTATAAACATTTTTTTTTTGTGTTATTCTTAAACTAGCACCGGTGAAACTCGCTGTATGTGAGTACCCTAGGTAGCTGAATATCGTTTGAAGTGAATTTCCTAGGTCGGAGACAGGACTTAAGAATACAGCAGTTAGAAAAGTCTAGTAGGCAAAACCAGTGATAACGACGAATGAGATGTTGGTACCTCTGATTTGGTGGCTCTACACTTTGGCGGTGTCGTTTTAAACGCGTAAATAATAAGTCTAATTCGAGCATCTAGTGGTCGGTCATTTCATTAAATTCACAGGAGTAATACACCTTGTCCCGTAGCTTGCCCTGTGCTTTTGTGCATGGAAAATAAATAAATACATTCCGAAATGGTAATTAAATATCTAGCTATCAGTCATTACCCGGTGCTTGTCGTTACTCGACTGGGCAATCCGCGTAGCTTGTCCTGTAATTTTGTGCATGGAAAATAAATAAATATACACTCCGAAAGGTTGATCAAGTGTCTAGTTATCAGTCATCGTCCAGTGAATATCGATTCCTGACAGGGCAATCCGCCTGCGGCGGATTGTCATACCTCCTGACGTCGAAGGCGTTGTGCTGTTTAGTACGCAAAAAATTTCAAGTCGAATCGAGCGCTCGATTTCTCAAGCGATCACCAATGAAAATCCAGTTAAACGCGTTTAAACCTCCCAGGTAGGCGATCCGACTGCGTTGGATCGCGGACGATGTGGGCGTAAAAGAGAGATTTTAAACATATTATGGAAAACGCATGTCAAACGTTAGGGAGTTGAAGATCAAAAAACTATATATATTTAATCATTTTTTTGATAACAGAAATTACAATTAATTAACACAAAATTTAAAAATTTAAAAAAAAATCAGAATACTTAGTCAGTTATCGTACAGAACGGATTTCGCGGGAACGTGTTTCGAACCTGCCTACCTCGTCCCGTAGCTCGTTACGAAAACGGCAATCGAGTGTCTAGGTATCAGTCATCGCCCGTACGGTGAAAGTCGATACCTGCTGAAAGGGCAATCCGATTTCGACGGAATGGATGAATTTCCCGTGGCTCGCCCGATGCTTTTGAGTATGGAAAATAAATAAATACACTCCGAAAGGGTTATTAAGTGTCCAGTTATCAGTCATCGCCCATCGAATATCGATACCTGACAGGGCAATCTGGCTGCGGCGGATTGTCATACCTCCTGACGTCGAAACCGTTGTGCTGTTTAGTACGCAAAAAAGTTTAAGTCGAATCGAGCGCTCGATTTTTCAAGCGATCACCACTTAAAATCCAATTAAACGCGTTTGAACCTCCCAGGTAGGCGATCCGACTGCGTCGGATCGCGGACGACGTGGGCGTAAAGGAGAGATGTTAAACGCATTATGGAAAACGCATGTCGAACGTTAGCTAGTTGAAAATCAAAAAAACTATACATAATTAATATTTTTTTTCATATTTTATAGATGGTTAGATATCGAAAAGAAATAATATGCGCTTTCTGTGATGACAAAATATTTAAAAATCAAAAGAAAAAAAAATTGCTACTGTTTTTCCCCTGTATCTTCCAAAGTAAGCGACTGAAAGGCTAAACATATAAAATAGTGAATTCACCGTCAAAACCGAGTGAAACAACTGTATAGTCATCAATAGAACGTTCTCGGGCTATAATATAAATTGCATATCACATAATATGTACATTTGAATAATTGTGCATACTGTTAGCAATAACTATAATTGGTTTAATTGAATACTATTGTGTAATTTAACGTTCGTGTAAAGTATATTATAATATAATATATTTTGTCATCATCAATCAAGCAGTATAAAATGTAATGTGTGAGATCAAAAATCGTTTTTAAAATTTGAAAAATATTTTATGAGTAGTAATGTCATATCAAAACGAAAATAGCAATTAATAATGATCGAATTAAATGAAAAAAAAATGCAAAAAATCCCGTACGTGTAGTTTCTTATGGGGCCGCCCGGAATGTGCCGGACCGGGATTCGAACCTGCCTACCTAACGTCGGGGAACCTATCCTAACACCTATCGACTACCGCTCGAGTTGATAACCGTAACCGAATCTCGAGCACTTAAACCGTTTTAGAGATGCGACGAATACTACATTATACGTCGTTTGACCCGTACAATTTTTACGATTCGCGTGTTACGAAACCGTAAATCGCATATTTATTGTCGTTTAGAACGTTTCCGACGTATTCGTTTACATTTTTTAATCGTATACGTCTCAACGACGTACCGAGTTTATCATCACATACACATATCACGATATCCCCCCCAAAAGGTATGCGATTAAAGGCATTACAACGACTGGAGAGCGGTTACGTACATTAAACGACAATAAATATGCGATTACGTTTCGTGACACGCGAATCGTAAAATGATACGGTTAAACGACGTATACCGCCGGTATTCACACAACATCTCTAAACGGTCGGTGCTCGAGATTCGGTTACGGCTATCAACCTTCGAGCGGTAGTCGATATAGAGTTATAGGTGTTACATAGATAGGTCCCCTGACGTTACATAGCATATGGTTACATACATAGGTGGTGTTCGAATCCCCTGTCCGCATTCTGGCGCGGCCCACGCCCCATAAGAAACCTGCTAATAACAATCATCACTTTAAATAATGGAATTCTGTATTTTTACTTAATTGACTGCTATTGCTATTTTGCTTTGATATGACATTATTACTTGCTAAATATTAAACCAAATAAAACGATTTATCTCACACATTATGGCATTTTATAATGCTTGATTGATGATGACAAGATATTATATTATAATATACTGGCACGAACGTTAAATACATTGTAGTATTCACTAAACCAATTATAGTGTTAACAGTGGCGCATAATCAGCGTACATATTGTGATGCAATATATTATAGCCTGAGGAACGTTCTATTGATGATGATATACATTGCACCAGTTTTGACGGTGACCCACGATGAGTGTTTAGCTCAGCTGCTAAGATTTAAAGATAGGAAACAGTAGCAATTTTTCTTTGAACGGAAACATTTTGTCATCAGAGCATAATATTTCTTTCTCTTGATATCTAAACTACCTATAAAATATTAAAAATATTAATTATGTATAGTTTTTGATTTTCAACTGTTAGCAATGCCCGACATGCGTGTTCCATAACACGTTTAAAATCTCCATGCCCATTATCGTCCGCGTGATCCGACGCAGTCGGATTGCTCATCGGAGGCGTTTAATTGCATTAAACTTGATTTTCACGGTGTTCATCGAAAATCGCGCCTGATCCATTTTATGCGTACCAACAATGCTGCTCGGACGTCAGAGGGTATAACAATCCGCCGCGGTGGTGATTGCCCAGTCAAGCATCGATATTCGCTTGCTGATGGCCGATAACCAGACACTCTGATAACCGTCGGGAGTTTATTTATTAATTTTCATACCTTCAAAAGCACCGCAAGCCACG